TAACACTACCACCGACTCTGCCTCCGCTATAGGTGGAAGATAACAGTGGCGCAAATGGGGATTGTGAAGGACATTTACGGTGGAAAATAAGACCGTTAACTGCACATACATGAGAAATATAAGATAAGAGGTAAGCTAGTGCACCAGCCATAAATCATCGTCACAGTTATTATCGGCCAATCAGTGTGTGCGCATGTGTGTGTGTGTGAGCGAGAGAGAGAGAGAGAGGGTGAAAAACAGCTGAAAACGTCCCATCAGACTTATCACAGTTTTCATCATTGAGGCAGCGCGGCTTAATAGCTTCCCTAATGTGTGATGTATGACTAAACGTGAGCACGGAGCCGGTGACAAAGCATCAGGATAACATCTCGACATTAGCAGGTGCAGAATTACTCGGCCAAACAAATTGTGCTGCAGTTGAGCGGGCATTACTTTCCCTCTCTTCAAACGGGCCGATAATGGGGTATTCATTATCACTTAATCAGAGAGTCAGTCAGGGCGCCGTCTTTGCACCTCTTTGTGAGTTTTATATGGATCAGATGGAAGAAAAAACACAATCTTTTTATTTTTCAACAATTATAGAATATTGACATGCCACTAGTATCGATTCCGATACTAAGAAATACAATTGTAACTTCATAGTATTTTTGCCTCCACAGTGATAATCAAAACATATATATATATATATATATATATACACATTTTAGGATTGTGTGCAGCAAATTGCGGCATAATGCTGCATTTTAGTTCTTATGAATATTATCACAAGGTTTTATACCGAGATCATAATCATGTTTTTTTAAGATCATTAAAAAAACTGCTCAGAGATTCTCATAAATTGTCCTGCTGCTTGTTTGCTGGTGCTGGTGTTTTATAGAGAAACAAGAATCTACCAGGAATTACAATCATTAGTCCTGTGCTCAGGTCTCTGTACTGGCTCCTTGTGGCTCAGAGAATAGACTTTACAGCCTCTAAAGACTTTAAAGTCTCTCCATGGTCTCTCAACAAAGTATGTCTGTAGTACATTAGTTCCACTTGAACCACAGGGACTGGCCTCCTGATGGGACTCTGAGGAGCACAGGGACTCAGGGACTGGTCTCCTGCTGGGACTCTGAGAAGCACAAGGACTGGTCTCCTGCTGGGACTCTGAGAAGCACAGGGACTGGTCTCCTGCTGGGACTCTGAGGAGCACAGGGACTGGTCTCCTGATGGGACTCTGAGCAGCACAGGGACTGGTCTCCTGCTGGGACTCTGAGGAGCACAGGGACTGGTCTCCTGCTGGGACTCTGAGGAGCACAGGGACTGGTCTCCTGCTGGGACTCTGAGAAGCACAGGGACTGGTCTCCTGCTGGGACTCTGAGGAGCACAGGGACTGGTCTCCAGCTGGGACTCTGAGGAGCACAGGGACTGGTCTCCTGCTGGGACTCTGAGAAGCACAGGGACTAGCATGTTTTAAATGTGTGAGTTTAACATTTGTCTATGCAGTTTAAAAATGTGTTTTGGTGAATGTATTGTAAAGCACTTTAAATCGCTTCCGGACAAATTGTGCGATAAAATAATTGATGATGGATTGATGGATTGATCTAGATTCACAATCGTATCTTATCTCTGATATGTTTGTCAACCGTACTGGCCACTGTTGGCACATGTTTGCGATGTGGTTTACATATCGATATTCAATAGAAACTCATATTAACCACTTTTAAATATTGTTTCCCTGACAAGCAATATTGATTAATTTTCCTCATTCGTTCATGAAATATCCTTACTGTAGCGCGATCGATACAGAATATGCTCAACGACAAAATGTCAATAGTGAGATATTTTAACAGCTGCGTGGAATTAAAATGTTCTTTTCAAACAGACGGACATATCAAGTGCCGACAGATAAGAAGTAGGTATATTTCACGAGTGGAGTAGAGCCATAAAGCCAAGGCCAGACCCATACACATTCATTTTTGTGACTTTAAATGCAAGGCTGGCAATATCCTCTGTCCTTCAGTGATTTGCCCGTAAAGTCAGAGTAAAAATGGTGGTGTTCTTGTCTTAAATCACCAGCTGCGGATGCACAGTGGTAGTTCAGATCACTGATGGAGCTGCCAGACTGTGCCTAGTATATGATGGAGCCATATGGTGGTTAGAGAGAGAGAGAGAGAAGTTATAGCATTTGTAAAACGTGGGCCTTCCTTGCACGGCTGCTCATCCCTCAGGAAACTTTTAATCCTACATTAATGCGGCACAGGTAGAGCTGATAAGGAGACATGCTCGTGTGCAGAGGACTGAGGCTGCTGCTACATCCACTAAGAAGGCGGCTGCGATCGGCCTGGACATTAAGACGACCGGCCATACCCCACATTTCACTGCAGGACTGGGTTCAAAGACAGTTAGACGACTTCTTCTTCCGTACTTTAAGCACTATTTACAGACGACAAAAACGTGTCCAAGTTGTTACGGTTCCAGAAAACAGCCGACATGAAAGCATAAAGGTCGGTTTGTGCAAGATTAATGGGAAAATGAGAGTCTGGAGGAGTGTTTTGCTCCTGTAGCGTTTTGATCATAGACTGTAAATATTAACGGACGTAGTCACGCCTATCTCCGCCGGTCTAACTAATGGGCCACAAATTGGGCTTTCATGAAGTGATTCAAAATGGCCGTGGGGGCTAGAAAATGTGAAAAAACGCATCTGCGCATGCGTCAGCCGGCATGAGCTCCATTCATTTAAACGAGTGACATAACAAATTCACAGCGAGTAAACTAGAGTGGTCCAAAAAAATTCACTCCCCTCAACATTGACACACATGTGGAACGGAGCTTTGGGCCAAGAGCCGACTTTTGGACCATCCTGTAAAGACGTTTTCGAGAGGTCTGCCAATGCTATATGTTAGCATTGGCTAATTCTTATTCCAGGTCCACCCCCATCTGCCCGGAGTGGTATAGCAAGCATGTCAGCGCACGTCATTTTGGCCACTTTTGAGCTGGGACCCGCCCCCACTGGTAATGATGTTATTACTTCATCGATAGTGTTTGATTCTCTGATCTATTGTTGAGGAATCGACAACTGTGGAGTCCTCCGATCTGACTGCTGTTGTGATTTAGGGCAATCCAAAAATAAATTGAATAGAATTGAAAACGAATAATTCTTAATTGTCTCATCATAACACTCCACATTAAACTCATGTCAATTTTGTTTTTGAAGATGAATGAATGTGCATAACGTACTTTTTAATTGACCCACATTTTATTCTCTTGTTGTAGAAATGGGCTGACCTCACAGGGAGACCTCACTGTGACCTCCCACGCATTTAAAGACATTTAATGCCACTTTCATGCAATCTAAGAAACCTATACATTTACAATCTTAAATATGTCTGTAAATCTTTTGTGGCCATAAATTCACTCATTCAAATTAGTAAAACATCAGTGTGATATAAAACAAATCCTCTCTAGTTTGTCGAACAATTGTCTCAGCCTGAGTTTGGAGTTGGATTTCAAGAGTTGAGCAGCGTTCATTCCCATTTTATGAAATTACATAAACGCGACATGAGCACCTGAGTTGTCGACCATGTTTGTATAGTGTGGACCAAAGAAAGAGAAAAGAATGATCCGATGAAATCTGTAAATGGCCGGAACGTGAAGCAATAAATTAGACATTATTGACAGATATTACCGTACATAATCAGTTACAGAAATCCAACTTCTGTTTTTATTTTTCAAACTATATATAGTAATAGGTTTCAGAGCCATCTCTCAGTTAAAGCTTAAAATATGTTAATAATTACAACTATTGCAGTTTCTCCTGGACTTATTATCTCGCAGCAACATGCATGCGAGGACATAATATGGTATACACTTGTGGAGAAAACAAATGCATTCTGGGCCCAGCCTTAGGGTCAAACTGAATAGCAGCACTACTTCATCAGAACTAGCGTCTCTATCTCTCCTGTCCCTCTTTTCCTTTCGGCAACAGAGGCAGATTAAAAAATGGGGCTGGGTGACCCTGTGTGAACCCTGCTGTTGATCCATCTGACCCACGGAACAAGTCTCCCCCCAGACGCTGCCTCAGACACAGGCGCCCGCAGGCACATAGACCAGGCGGTAACATTGCTTTTAATAATTTAGACCCCAGAATACACATTACGCACAAGTTTGTTTTGTTATGGGAGAACTATTCAAGGTTTCTATAATTTGTGTGAAGCTGAGACGCAGCCAAGAGGCATCATGGCCACAATCAAAGCTGGTGGGCTGTTTAACGTCAGCTAGGATAGGGAAGTAGACTGGAATTTATTGGAAGAAAAGATGGAGTTCATCAGCATTTTGGAGTCCATAAGAAACTTGAGGCTGTATACACAAGAATACATTGAATTGAATTGGATAGCAATGACCTAGCAACCAAAGAGCCAATCAAGAGCAGCACTTGTCTGTTCTTGAGCCCATATCGGGGACAAAAAGTTCCTGATTGGTCAGTTGTTAGTGGCTTATCTGTATTCTCAAATATTTCTAAATTAAAACACTGGTATCATTCAGAATGTTAAACTACAGATTATTGGGCCAAAAAGGGTGACAGTGACACAGACGGTTTCAGAGTCAAAGCAGTTAATATTTCAATGTAAGTCAATGAGTTGGAGCAAAACTTAATACATGAGCACTGCTGTATTAGGCTTCTTTAAACAAAAGGGTGAGAGTTGTCCATATATATTTATTCTATGCTCTTGATGTACACAGCTGGTAGTGACATGCATCTGTAATCGTCCACATCTGTCTGGCAGAGGGCTGAAAAACTTGTATTTTTATTTTCACGCATACATTACTAATTGTAAGACATGCATCAGATAATAATTGCGCTTCTAAAAGAAAATACTGAATATAATACAAGAATTCACCTTCTTTCATCAAATACCACTAGTTTTTCAATATATCACCCAAAAGACTAATACCCCAAATTTTGTATGAGTCGTGCAAGTGTATTCCCCCCAAATGTGATAAAACTAATCCATGCCTACCTTGGACCGAGGCGGCGCCCGGATGTACCATTTACAGTCCACAGCTTCAGAGGCACCGGCTTTCCCATCTCTGGTGATCTGGTGAGACTCCACAATCCCCTCTGGTCCCACCATGTCATACTGACAGGCTGCAGCACACACACACAGACACACACAGACACACGCAGACACACACAACCAACCAAAATACAAAACTTGTGTTCAAACCCCCACACAGGGAGAGAAAGGGGGAGACGGAACGACAGAGAGAAGTATACCTACAGGGCAGAGGAGGTGGATCTCCCAGGTCGGAGAAGTCTGGATCTGAAACACACAAGAACATAGCATTTATTATAACTCACAAAGATGACAGGAAGGAGAATGCATTATTGAAACACCCACAATCATCATCGTCACATCTGCTCTTTTGTAGTTTATAGTTTTGTGAATGGATTTTGCAAAGTCACTTGGACAAATATGGGACAAAAACGCTGTTAGTAAGCATGTTCAATTCAACTTTCAGTTCCATTTCAAAGTACTGTCGTAAATCACAACAGTATTTATCTCGAGCAACTGTACACAATCATTCACACACAGATTAGAGAATCAAACACAATAAATAAAATGACCAATGGCCATCTAACAACATAAGTGTTGTTAGATGTCCTGGATCATCACCACTGCACTTTTAGTTGAGTTCTATATCTATCCATACAGGGACCAGGAAGCATGGTCCAGCAAAGTGGGAGAATGTTGTTATGTCTCTTCATAACTATGGTCATACAGAGTTCATGGTGTTAGATTAGCCTTTATAGTCTCTTGACTGAGATATTGGGCAAAGGACAAAAACATGACAATAACAGACATTCAGTCAACAATTGTGGCATTTACCGTAAACTCTGCAAGACCATGCGGACATTATATAAAGAGTTCAGGGTAAATGGCACCTTTTTGTTTTTGCTGAATGAGGAGCAACTGAACTGTCTCATATCTGCTATTGTCATGTTTTTTTATCATATGTCCGTAAGAAGACAATAGAAGTTAATCTAATTATGTTCACAATGGTCGTTAAAGGACAAGTAGGAATAATTGTATGAGTTTTTTAACCAGTCAGTGCCCCTTTTTAGCATAGGTCATAGGAAGCAGGAGACAAAAGCACAATATGTCTTCTCAAAAGACATTTCGAGAGATGTTTCTACCAACAAATGTTTCTACCAATTAAAAAGGTAATCTGTGATGTAAACCAAAATAATTGGTTTACATCACTTTTTCACTGTTAATCATTGTGTCACATGTCATTGTGTCCAATCACACGACTGCTTTTGCCGTGGTCTCCCGCACATGCCCAGTGGATTTCTGAAGCCGGTTCTTTGGGATTTTGGCAAGAATAGAAGCGCTGCAGTGCAAAAGTCATTCATTGGGATCACTGAGAAAATGTGAAAGACAGTAGAGGATCGGCAATACACTAGGCAAAAGACTGGATAGATCGATGAAAAACTATAATAGCATTAAATACAGGTGTAATAAGAGCGACTATAACACCTGTGCCCAGCCTTACTCCGCCCTCATGAACATTTGAAAATGTTCTGTAAAAAGGGAACAAGCCACAGAATTATCTCAGCAGTAGGGGCTGTCAACTGATGTAATTTAATATTTATCCACTAGATGTCGCCAGAATACCCCAACTCGTTGCTGGGGCGTGTGTGAGACTTGGAGGGTTTTATACCACTGGCGCAGAGAGACGCACGTCACACAGTACCAACTGACGTCACACATCCCACCGGAGCCAAAGGAGAGACCCAGCACCAAATTCAAATGTAGTGCACCCAAAAAGGTAGAGAGGGCGCCACACAGACAGTTTTAGGCTCAAAAGTGAGATTTGATCTTGTTTGCACTATAATGTCAAATGACCAGAATATGTAGAGAGCACTATAAGCAACATATTTATGCAGTTTATCAGTTTAAAAAGTCCAAAGATTTTTTTTTTTTAAAGTACTACTGTGTTGTAAGAACATGGCGTGGTTTTGTCATCTCTTGACTCTGGCATGGAGCAAGTTTACAATAGTGTATCCAGGGAACACAATCAAAACAATTAAACACAGCTTTAAACTTGAGCTGAATGTTGCACTAAATTTCATCAATAGTTTTTGTCTTTGTGAGTCCTGTTGCAGATCACTTAGTTAGACTTTTAGTGTCTCCCTGGACTTCCACTGACTTCATTATTAAACTAGGCCTGGTTTGTTCAAATGATTATGTGGAGAAAGAGGCGGGTTCGTTATTAGTTATTTTTTAGATTTTCAGATGTGCTACTACTAAAAGTACTTCTTCTAACATTACGACTTGCACTAGAACTAAAAGGAGATTTGAGCATTGAAGCAAAAAGGTTATCTTGGTTACCTTGGTTATGTTATTTTACAAATTTGGTAAACCCCAATTTTGCAACGCTATTAAATACACCCAACTCTCACTCTCTAAATTGCTCTCCAAATTGGTTACATTATAGTTATGATTACAGTAAAGCCGGCCCAATTTTAATCTTAGTGATGTGAGAGACAGAGTTTAAACTGTAAAATGTCATGTTTTTTGAGGATCATCCAAAAGAAAAGCCTTGGACCAAGTGAGAAAAAAACGTTAAATATTTGCACAGTAGTTAGTACCACTTTTCTAAAAGTTACACCTTTCTATCTGAACATGGCTCCTCAGCCTTTAGAGTCAAAAGGCTTGAGGAGCAAAACATCACAGCTTCAGTGATGAGAAAGCACAACAATAATCATAAATATTTGCATTATTTCTTAGTGCTGGGTTTCTTTCAGACCCTGCGATATGATTCGAATATGAAGTATTCAATATGACATGACATGATACAAATCTAGATACAGGGAACTTTCAATTTGATTCAATACATTTTCTGACAATTCAGTGTCTGGGTCCTAAAATTACAATACTATCGATGCATTTATATTTAATTTATTGAAGATGAGTTAATCTTAATTAAAACAAAATAATAATAATTATTATATAAAAAATAATTTATTTATTATTTATTTATTAATTCAGTAGTGGCCTGTAGCCTGTAAGCGCTGCTCAGATTTTATATTATACATTATTATCTGGAAAATATGAATTAAAAATTAGAGTCAGTAAATATAATACTAAATACTTAAAAAATAAAAAAACATCAAAATACATGTTTTTTCTGCATTACATTACCATTTCCAATCACAGTCAGACTATCAGGACTTGACCCAGAGTAAAAATGAGGACAGATAAATGTGGATTCAACAAACCAAGTGAGTACACCTGGTGCGGTTGAATAGTTTAAATAATCCATGAAACGTGAAAAGTACAGAATGTGGATATTTGCCTAAAAGGAGGCAGCGATCCCGGCCCAGCAGTGGCCCAGCTGGACCGGGGCCAGGTGCTTTCTAGCAATAAATAAATCAGAACTGACATTGACTTTGTGTAAAAAAAAAACAAAAAAAACACAGGAGGTTGTTTGTGGCTTGACAAATGTAGGTGAGAAAAACTCTTTGCAACAGAACAGAGAGAAACAGAAAAGTGAAAATCTGAACGGTGCTTACTGAGCACTCCCCAGAAGATTCAACACTGATTAATTGTTGCTCTCAGCTCAGGCTCAAACAACTCGATTTGTAAAGTGGTGCGTGGGGAGGAGTGAGTTTGTTTGAGCTTTTTTCTATTGCATTAGACTTGAACAATATTTTCAATGCCAAAACTTCAACATCTCTTGTACTTTGATTTCATTGGTTCTGCAAAACACACACAATGCAGAAAAACAAAGGGAGGAATCATCACGTTTTTGCAGGATGTACTATAATGGGAGTAAAAGTGAGCTTGGAAATATGCTTCTACATATGGGACCGGCTGTGGGAAAAAAGGGTCACCAATCACACAGAAAGTTTATTGTTCGAATGTCATTATTTCTGTTCATTACCTATTCAGTGTCTCAGATAACAATATTTCTTAGTCGAACGTGATGCAAATGTGCAGCTGCATGTTCCCTGCTCCTGAACTGGGTTGAAAAAGAGGCTCTTGGTGATTTCAGCTCACCTCACTTTTTTACAAGCATATCTAAATGCTAAATTTTTTTGGAAAGCCTAGAATCTACTACTTTGTGCACGACCTCTTTTCCCATCATGAGTCATCTAAAGCCTGGTTCACACGAGACGATTTTAAAATTGTCGGCCGATTTTTCTCCGTGTTAGACCCCACACGGGGAGATTAAAAATCCTGCGTCTAACCACTTTGGTCGTGCAGTGTGTGGTGCGTAGCCACACGGCAAGATCACGCAAGCCATAAACATCACACACGAACCGACACCCCCCCCCGAGCATTCCCAAGTCAGACGGAAATCTCACAAAATCTCTCGAGATCAAGCGTGACTTCAGAGTAAACAGTCATGGCGGACGAAGAGGATGCAGTGGCGATAGTGTGCAGTTTGTTGTTAACAGAGAAGAGACGTAATCCAAAGAAAAGGCAATGGTCAAAGCCATGCTGTGTTTTGGTTTTTTTCCGGTGTTTCCTCACCGGCTTGTCACCTCGTCTTCTTATTGGCTACACGCCGTAGTCATCGTAACGCGCTCGCTTGTCCTCGGAGGACACCACACACGACAAGAAATCGGGCCAAAACAATCCAACATGTTGGATATCCCCGATTTGAGATCGGGAGCAGTCCCGATGTCCTTCCGAGCGACGAGTGCAGTCTTAACACACCACACACAGCAGGATAATCTGTAAGATTTTGTTACGGAAATCGGAGCGTTTCTTAAGATTGTCGTAAGGGGTAAATCGGGTCTTAATCGGCCTAAATATCCTGCCGTGTGAACCAGGCTTTAGACATTTTCACTTAGGTCTGACTCTGCACGGCTCTGCTCGGTTTGCAGGTTTTCTCAAAGTGAGTAGTGTGGAGCTGCTAAAACGAACTTTGCTGGTTCTTCTTTAAGAGCAGGTCCAGGGTGGGCTCACTTTAAAACTGATAGGGCTTACCACGTCTTCCACACGAACATTGGTAGAGAGTCACAGGACCAATGCACACACTGAGACTCATAATAATATTAAGGGCTCCCGTTGCCCTTTGTGTTTGTGTGCGCCGCCTTGCTTTGTACAGGTCATCTCTACCGGTGATCTATTGGAGGAACTTCGAGAGTGGGCGTGTCCGGTCTGACACCTGAGTGGCTGCAGCGGGACAAGCGTGAGGACGTCCTCCAACCCTGGGAATCCATCAATGAGGGCGTCCCCCATAAAACCTCCCATTCTCCGCCAGCCGTTACCGCTCCTCCTGTGTTGTTCTGTTTTGTTATGTTGTCACTGTGTTATCTTTGAGCTCTAGTTTTTGTATAGTGACATTGTTTTCTTATTATTTCTGTATTCCTCATTCGTTTCCAAATTCATTT